ATAAAATATATGAAAAAAATCGTGTGTGTATTCAAATGAAAGGTCTCGATGAGCGTAACATCAGGATGAGCTTATATCGTTAAGAATATCATCAGTAGACAAAATACAATGTCATCTTTTAACAATTGACATTTTTTAAGATATAAGCTCATCCTGATGTTACGCTCATCGAGACCTTTCATTTGAGTACCCACATGCATTTTTGATATATTTTTCATATATACATATATGTAATATATATAAATATATAAAATATATGAAAAATTGATGTGGGCATTCAAATGAAAGGTCTTGATGAGCGTAACATCAAGATGAGCTTATATCGTTAAAAATATCATCAGTAGACAAAATACAACGTAATTTCTTAATTATTGACATTTCTTAAGTCATAATTAATTTTTAAGTAAAGTAATATAAAATAATTTAAAACATTCCAGACCTAAGTCAAGCAAACACCGCACTAACAAAAAAAGGAAGCAAGTAAAACTGGAATGTCCGACCCACCGAATGCCCAGTGGCCTAGCTTGCGATCCAAACCCTCTTTTCATCGACGACTCAATCCACTACATCCACCCGTACATCGACAGCGGCAGCTGGCTGTACTTGGAAACAAATCCCGCGATTTATCGGTCCAGCTCGAGGGAATCTCACCACTATCGGCATCACCATCATCATCTTCCTCGGCACCGTCGTATCGCCAGTGACCCTGGAGGACTGATTTATCTCCAAGACACTAATCGCAATCACTGTCTGCACCACCGTCGCGGCATAAGTCTCAGCGGTGATTTTATTCTTGAAGATATTATTGATGAAGAAAGTAATTTTCCCGAAGATACTGAACCGAAGACACCGACCTTCAGAAAAGTGCCATGGCATCCTAATTTGCACATGCTCAAAACTAGACAAACCTAGTTGACTTATTATTATTATTATTATTATTTTAAATATCAATGGCACAATTTATTTTTATTAATTATTTTAATTATGTCCTTCTTAAATGTGCAATATTAAATTTAAGTTTTTTGTACAGAAATTATTAATCATGGCTCTATTATTGTTATGTATTATTATTTTTAAATATAACTCAGCATTACTTGCGCTAAATATTAAAACTCACTTAAATAAAACCGAGTAACAATTAGCGTAAGTAACGGTAAGTTACAGCCATTTTTGGGTCATAAGATGTGGGTTACAGATTTTTAAAATAATTATTAAATTTATTGTTAATCTATTGTCGTTGTTAATTAACAATAGCTTTGTAATAATAATAAATTTACTTTGTTTTGAAACTGTCTGGCAAGCTAGAAAGTTAATAAAAATAATTATTTATATACGCATAAATCAATCATTTGTTATTCTTCTCTTAAACAATAATAGTATTCAGTAAACTGTGTCAGAAAAACAATTTTTTTTATTTTTTTTATTTTATATCATTAATTTATGGTCATATCAAGTGCTTGGTTATTAGTGACCTCAGATTGCATATATAATTTACATATAATAAATATGTAAGTTTAGAAATGGCAGCCATTTGAAATTTTCAAAAATTTTTAAATCAGTTATAATTATTTATGATATTGTTATTAGAATCATGGATTATATGAAATTTACCTTCCATATTGGCGGATGCCGAATGGCCTCACAATTGACAAGCATCGCAATTGATAAAATTTATTAATTTTCAGTAAAGCAGGAAGCTAAAAAAAATATAGTTAAAATAAAACGACAGTAGTTTTTGATAAATTAACACACAATTTATTTATTTCAATTCTCAATTACTAACTCGATGAATACAAATAAAAGTAATGATATTACAATACTTTATCGGTAGTAACCCAATATTTACAATAATGTGATTTACTTCAATACACAATACAGAATAATGGGAATAAACAAGTACTAAGGTAATCTATTCTTTACTATTTTTTATTAATTACTACAAATACAATTATTTGGTATTGTTTACAAAAGTAAATATATTATAAATAAAAAGCCTGAATAAAATTTTTAAAGTCTTGATAATTAATATATTCAACTATCGTTATTACCAATTCATATGGTAAAGGGATAGCTTTACAGAGATTTTCTACTCTTTCTAATGCTTCTAACTGCTCAAGTCTTCTTGAAGCTTTTTCTATTCTAATTGAAATTTGTTTCCAGAAGAAAAAATAATCAGCTTCATCATAATATTCCATAGGATGAGATTGAAGTTCAGGCTTATCAAAAAATTTATTAGAAAAAAAAGAAATATTAGGGTTTGGAAAGGTATTCTTGAACGCATCTATTAAGGATTTATTTTTTACTATCAATCGTAATTGTTTATCATTAAAACATGACTTTATGAATTCATAATACGTGATACTTTTGTCATCATATTTAAGCACCCTTGTTTTTAACTCCCCTTGAATAATATTTTGTTCGTAGGTGTGTGCGTACTCCCTGAAATATATGTTTTTAGCAATTAACTTGTCCATCAACATTTTTTCATCTTCAGGAACGAATAAACCGAACGTACGTCTCGTAATAAGGTCTCTTAAAATCAACTTGATACATTTTATATTTTCATTATTACTGGATTCTGTCTCTGGAGTTGTAAGTGGACGTAATACGTAATGCAAAGCCCTTGATTTTGAAATATTGTAATAATAAGGCAATAAATTATCCAGTGTAAGTGGAAAATGTTTGCAAGCTGCAATATTGAGTAATAGAGTATTCGGATCATTATTTATGGTTGCGTTAACATCAGCACCGGCTTTAAGTAAAATGCGAATCAATTCTGCAGTAACCCTATCACTCAACGATTCGTGGTGATTATCCAAGTGTCGATCATTTTCTAAATTTTTTGGATCTAATATATAGTGGGTAACATGATAACCATTACTGTCACGGGCGTTTATCCATTCATGATCTTGTACTTTTTGTATAAGTAACAAGGCGATTGCATGCTCCTCACTTTCAATGGCATACATCAACAGTGTTTTATTTTTCAGACTTTTAACTTTCAAACTTGCTTTGTCTTTGATAAACGATAATGGTAACATCAAGAACATACTATTACCATATATCAATGAAAAAGCAAACAAACTAATCTTATTCCCAAAATCGTTGCGCCACGTATCCCTTTTCATGTATTTTGTAAAAAGTTTTTGGTCTATTTCAGCATTAATTTTGGCACCAGCTGTTATCAAAATATCTATAATTCCCCAAGGTATCTCACTTTCGAAAAAACACGCTAAGTGAATAGGTTGAGCTCCATCGTCAGCAACAGCATTTACATTTGCATGGTAATCTACAACTAATAATTTTACAAATTCGATATTTCCCTCCATACAAGCTATATGCAATGCTGTATATCCAGCAAAAGGTCCAGTTGTTTCTATAGGTGCATTGTTAACTATTTTATCTTCAAAAAATGAGCTATTACGTCTGGCTTGATGATTTGAAATAGCGTCACGCACGATTAAACGATATTCATAAGTTGCAGCAAGCATATTTTCTTTATATACTTTGATCTTCTCTCTACGCTGCGCTATCTTTAAGTACATTCTATCACCCATTCTTTACAATTACAATTTTTTTTAATTATTATAATAATTAAAGAGTGAGAGTCCGTTATTCACTGTAGTAACTACTAAAAATCACTTTTTTTAATAATTAATTATAAATTTTTGATTTTACACTTTTTTACACTATTTTTTGGTATATTTAATCTTATTTCACGCCTGAGTCCGATGTATCAATTAAATCACTAAAAAATAACCAGGATATGGTTAGATTTTACTATTTAGTTAGTTTTGTGTAGAAAGTTCTTAGTTCTAAGGTCTATTTGAAGATGGTCGCAGTGATTTCAAAAATTTATTAATATTAATATTAAGTTTTGTCGACAAAAATTTAAGATCTATCCAACAATTCAATTTTTATATTTTCACTCGATAATTTTGGAATAGAAAAATGTTGCACTAAACGATTTTTAGAAAATATCGTGAATTATAACACGTGGATATAATGTAACTAACACTAAAGGCACAGACCTGCAATAACTTTTCAGATGAAAATTAGTATATATGTATATACATAACTTGCTATTGGCAGGGTGCGAAGTATATGGTGGGGAGGGCTGGCGCTGACTACCACTTTTACGTGTTAATCTTATGAGAAGAGCATGATTTAACGCTAATGGCGACCACTGGAACTAAATTACTCCGTTTGATTTAACACAGAAAAAGCATGAAAAATGAGGGCAGCACCATCGTGCACCTGGCCAATAGAGACGGTGCTAAAATTGTAGAGGCAGAACTTTAGCCGAAGCTCGCGCGCTTTAGTGTAGAAAATATGTACAAAATAGGACAAAATTTGCTAAAAATATAAATTAAGTAAGATTATAAAAAATGGAAAAAATAAAGTATACTTTTTGGACCAATAAATAATGAAAAAATATTTGCGATCAGAATGATTCGAAAGGCAGAAAGTTACAGGGCGTTTATTTTTTCTGACAGTCTATTAAACAGCCAACAATTCGTAGTACCTCACACTCCACACTCCAGACTAGAAACATAAAACAAGAAATTTATTACAGAATTTTTTATTTTTATTTTATTTATGAATGTTTATACATGAAAAAATAAACCCGCTGAAAATGAGTTTTTTTTTTTTCATATTTCTTATACTTTAAAAAAAAATCTCTATTCACACTGTTAAAGAAAAAAAAAACACTTACATGTAATTATCGCGTAAGCGATTGTGATGATTACGCAAAATTCTAAGATTATAAATGCAAATGTGTAAAAAATAAGAAAGTTATTACGTAATTGGTTTGATGCTTTACAAATCTGTAATCTGGACAGTGTATTATTATTTAATATTTTTATATATTTTAAAATTGCTCGTTGGTGTTGATGCTTGGAGAAGTTAATTAAATTAGTCAAGACCGACGTCGTCATCAGGAGCAGGAGGATTGGTTTTACCTGGACAGAATCCTCCAGGCATACCACCTTCACCCATCATTCCCGGAAATCCACCGGGCATTCCAGCGCCACCGCCAAATTTGGAAGCTACCTTGTTGATGAGATTCATCACCTTCGGGTTCTTTTGGTACTTGAGGATGTTCGATGGATTCGTCGAGATTTCCATAAACGCTGCAGAGACTTCAGGATCCTTTAAAAAAAAATTTTTATTTTTATTTTTATTTTTATTACTAATAATAATTATTAATGAAGAAATTTTATTTAATTTAAATGTAAGTAAAAATTCAAACCTGGAATGCTTGCAAGACTTCAGGATCTTTTAGATAACTGTAAAAGTCGTTCATTGACGCCTTAGCTCCGTCATCAGTTTGTGATGGACGAGAGTTAGCTTCACGAGCCTTGGCCTCCTCTCGTGATTTCTTCAAGGCCTCCTGACGTTTCTTCTCAGCTTTCTCGAAAGCTTTGCGTTCTTTCTTTCTCTTGTGTTCTTCAATTTTGCGAGCCTGGAAAATATTTCATAAATTTTATTAATAAATAATTTATTTTTGTTAAAAAAAAGTTTTTTTTTTTTATTCAAGTTAAATTAAATAATTTATATCATTAAGAGAATAAGAAAAATTTTGTTTCCAGCATAGTTATAAGGTTGCATTAAAAAATCCTCTATTTCTAGATACATAATTAAAAAATGACCTTGTATCTTGTGAAATATTGACATTTTTAAAGATATAAGCTCATTTCGACATTACACTCGTCGGGACCTTTCATTTGAGTACCCACATCAATTTTTCATATATTTTGTATATTTATATATATAAAATATATGTATATATGAAAAATATATCAAAAAATGCATGTGGGTACTCAAATGAAAGCTCTTGATGAGTGTAACATCAGGATGAGCTTATATCTTTAAAATATATATTATATACATGTATATATGAAAAATATATCAAAAATGCATGTGGGTACTCAAATGAAAGCCCTTGATGAGTGTAACATCGGAATGAGCTTATATTGTTAAAAATATCAATATTTAACAAAAGTCATTATTTAATAAACCAAAATTTTGATTTTTTATAGTTCACAAGTCACGGCAGTCACATAGTGCCTGCAAGGTTGCTAGTTTAAATAATTATTTTCATAGCAACAATAAATCATGAATATTAAAATAAATTTTTTAAAATATGACGGTCAACGACTGAAATACATAACTCTGATGTCATCAGCATTTAAAACGTTACTTTTGGATGATGTTATTGCCAAAAATTATCCCTGATAAAATTTAAATTTATTAATTAAATAGTTATTAATATAAAAAAATAATATTTTCTAATTTTGTAAGCTTATTATTAAGTTATTAAAAGATTAGAAAAAAAGAGGCTTGTTGATCGATAAGCGAAGAAATGAGTCACCGCTAGAAATCTGGCTCGCTGAAGATATATATCGAAAAGCCTAAGTGGGCAATTTGAACGGTCAGGGGTCGATGTAAAATAGTGTAAGTAAAATGTATAAGATATTTCTATATATCGAAGGGTTTCAACGACAAGCGGGAGGCCAGAGGGGTTAAATTTGCTTGGGTCCATATACGGCGACACGGCCCGGACACGTCTAAATATAAAGACGCTCGAGTCGCGATGCTCCGCTGTCCGAGCCACAGAAACATTCTACTATACGGGAAACCTTGTCCCCAGTAAGACATTCAAGTATTTCTATGCATTATAATTTTGCAATGGATCTCTTCGCTTCACCTTTTCTTCTTCATCATTTTCTTCTTCGTTATACAAATATAAATTTCATAAAATTCTGTAATTAGTTTTTTTTTTTTTAATAAAATTAATCTAATATTAATATTAATAAAGATAAAAATATTTATATTTATATTTATAAAAACAATATTAATGTTCACATTAATTTTTCATTTACCGAAAAAAGTTAAACTGAATAAAAAATTATATTTTTTTATAATATAATTTATGGCACGCCGTTTTACTATTTAATACAAAGAAAAAAATGATCTTAAAATTAACAACTAAAAGGAAAAATGCACATTTTATGTTAAAACATAATCAAAATATAATAGATTAATTTTATGTTTGTGTTTATATTTTTTAAGGAAAAATTATTACGTAGGGACATAATGATACATCAAAGAATTAAAATTATCTACATAATAGAAATGTTTGAATTAACATTATGTATTGAGATAATATCAATTGTTTAATATCATTATGTTACAAGATTACTTTTATTTATTATTATTATTATTATTATTTTATTTACTTTTAGGATAAAAAATTCAAATTAAATTCATATTACTAGATAATTAAAATTCGTTATCGGTATAATTAATTATGGTGGGACATAATAAAAATTGTCTGAATTTTAGTTATGTTGTGTCATAAATTTTTTTGAAGTATTCATTATCATTTCACTTTTTACTAAATTCTGTGAATTTTTATTATGATCAACCATTCTTTATTAAAAAGTTGATGTGACGTTTTCATTGTTGTCGCTTTTCGTTGCTATGGTGACCTTTTTTGGCAACGGTTAAATATTAATGAGTAAAATTTTTTAAAATATTGATTAATTAAATTGTCGATAATAAATATTTTGACAGAAGCACGCAAAGCGCGTTCGATTTTATAGTAATAAAAATTTTGCAAAGATTTTTAAACTGTTTTAAATAAAATTAATCCATTTTTTTCATGCAAATACATCATTTTAATATTTCTTATTATGTTATTCAAAATGAAAAAAATTTATTTTTTTTATGTTCTGCAAGAATATTACCTGATTAAATAGTAAATAATAGCGTGCCATAATCTTTCTATATTAATTAATATTTAAAAAAAATATTAATTTTCCCTGACGTAAAAAATATAATAACAAATTCTGGCTCTATTTGCTGGCTGATGTTAAAAATCTTGACATTAAATATCCAAGCTAAGCAATGTAATCAGATTCACATATTTGTCGATTTAATTTAACCTGCCAAATTTTGCGAGTACTCTTTACGTTAAATCTCTGACGAGTGTAGTGTCACGCTAGTGACTTGGTTGTAAAGTAATTTTGTCTGAGATCTTCCTACGATATTTCCACGTCGAAAACGACCTTGCCCTCTTATATTAAAAATTACATCCACTCTATTTTTGTTAAATAAATATTAAACATCTTCAATAATAAAATCATCCCTCCAATTTAAAATTTCAAATTTCAAAAAAAAAAGTAAAGAAAATTAGTAAACAAACACTTGAATTAGTAAATAAAAATAAACTAATGCCAGATGATTGACAGGTACCGGCTGATAAATTGAAGAAGCAACTGGGTTAGATATTTATAAACGAATAAATATTTTTAAAAACTCTATCTGATTCTCAGAAGAAATATTAATCGATTAATTTTTCTCAAGACTTATTTCTTCTTTCTTTTTTTTTATTTAATAAAATAGAGATGAATTAATCAGGAGTTTTTAATCCACGTCAACGTGAATGAAATGTTGAGGATAGAATTGACAGTGCTTGAGAGAGAGAAGATGCTTGTTTGAGAGTGAGGAAAGATCTTGAAGAGGCAAGCCAGCTAGCACAGCAGATTTAGTCCGGCAAGAAGACGCACGGGCTGGTGGTAAATTTTTTTAAGACGAGGGTTTTAGAATCGACGTGGGACAGTTTATTGTGAGTGCACAGTTGCTGAACACCACTCAAAACTGGGTAGTAATATTAATAATAGTAATAATAATAATCTTCATAATTATTGAAATAATAAAAATTTGTTCTCGTTGATCCAGGTGTGATTCGGTGTAATTTTCAGTAGTGGCTAGTGAAACGACGTGATGACGGGCTCGGCACGTCTGAGACCCGTTGTCGTGGTGGGCCTCATACTTGCTCTTCTAGCTGTCGCCTTACGGGGTAAGTTTATATTTATTTAATCTATTTCTTCTTTTCAATACCATGGAACAATTTAATGTTTTTTTATTATTTTAAAAATTAAATTAAATTAATATTTTTTAATTATTTAAGAATTACATTAATATTTTTTTATTGTTTAAAAATTAAATTAAATTAATCTTTTTTAATTATTTCAAAATAAAATTGATATTTTTTGATAATTAAAAAATTAAATTAAATTAATTTTTTTTATTATTTAAAAAAATTAATTAATTTCATTTCATTTCATTTCATTTTGAATTAATAAAAAATAATTAAAAAAGTTTAATTTAATTTTAAAAAACTAAAATTAAATTAATTTTTTTTTATTATTTAAAAATTAATCTTTTTTTATTAATTGAAAATTAAATTAATTTTTTTTTTTAAATTTAAAAATTAATACTTTTTTATTAATTCAAAATGAAATGAAATGAAATGAAATTAATTAATTTTTTAAATAATAAAAAAAAATTAATATTTTTTTAGTTTTTTAAAATTAAATTAAACTTTTTTAATTATTTCAAAATAAAATTAAATTGATATTTTTTGATTATTTTAAAATTGAATTAAATTAATATTTTTTAATCATTTTAAAATTAAATTAATTTTTTTTTATTATTTAAAAATTAATATTTTTTTACTATTTTAAAATTAAATTAAATTGATATTTTTTTAATTATTTTAAAATTAAATTGAATTGATATTTTTTAATTATTTAAAAATTCAATTTTTTATAAATAATTAAAAAAAATTATCCTTATAATTAATTGCATTTATTTTTGGCTATTTAATCTTAAAACATGTTTTGTGATATTTTTTTATTAATCGTTCTTGGCAATATGCAATTTTCAGTGTCCAAAGTATTTATAGGGTACGTGATATTTGTACACTAGTTACATAAAGTCGAGGAAAGGTCATTTGTTTTATTAAATTTATCATTTTTTATGCCTATTCTGTAATTCATCTAAAATTTATAAAAATTTCTTCTCAAAATTACTGACTTGTCCATGTTAAGATTTATATAAGGTAAAAGACCCCATTAGTGGCACTTTTTTTTCAATGAAAAAATGTTTTACTTGGAATAAAAATTAAGAATTTTTTTGATCTAAAGGTCTTAAAGATTAGAAATAATATATCCATTATTAAAATTAATGATTTCATTAATTGAATAAGTACCAAAATCAAAGAAAGTGTCAGTCGCTACTAATGGGGTCTTTTACCCTATATCTTCATAACTTTTTTAATATTTAATTATCTATCAACTGAATATTTAAAAAAATAAAAAATCAAATAAAGTTTGTATCCATTGATCTGAAGAAATGACGTTAACCAATAAATAAAATTATAAATATTCCCAGTACTCTAAAAACATGACACAGTTATGTCGACGTTAGAAACGATGTCGTTAACTGACGTAGAAATGACGAAGGTCAATGTTATGTAAGGTTTACATTTACTCGTGGTTCATTGAATTTTTATTTCAATTTAAATATTTCTCATTTTTATAATTTCATTTTATTTCTTCTTTAGTAGCTTTGATTATTAATTATTAATTAATTAATTTCAAATGTGAAATAAATTATTTTCAAGAAGGAAATTATAAATACCCAGTACTGGGTCGAATACCTACAAGGTAGCAACACAAACTACTTTGTACTCAAAATCTATACAAATAATTTCTTCTTAGTAGTAGTAGTATACGTTCGAGAGCCCGTGAGTACCGCCTACCAAGTCTAAACTTAGACATTGGGCCACAATTGCCACAAGCTGTGTTTCAACTCACAATTTACTACTTTCCTCGCACGATTCGTATCTTCATTAATCATAATCATAATGATGATCATGTTAGTTCATATTTTCTTCACAGCTTTCATTTAAGGCTTGTATTTTTTCAATCTTTGAATTTACTCGAGCCTCAAAATTAAACGTCCCTGGCCGAGAACTTGGATCGCAAGTTCGTAGGACAAAGTTTAAGTCTAAGTGACACCCGAAGAATTTTTGTCTGGTATGTGTTCTCTAACACAGAAGGTTCTTGTAGGTCAATTCTTTTCAAAGCAACACTTGCAATTAATACAAGATATTTTAATAAGTGTAAGAATTAAAAGAAATAACATTTTTGTTATTAATTTTATAAATTAATTATCTTGATTGCAGAAGTGCAAGGTGATGATCAGCTGGATGTATCTGAAGTTCAGTGTCGACCTTTTATCGAAAAAGCTTTGAAAGATCTTGGAACAGGTAAAGTTCAAGAGTTTTTGGTTTTTGGTTTTTATTTTGAGATTTTAAAGGGTTGGTTGGTTTTTTTTATTGTAGGTAATGTTGAAGAAGGTAGTAGAGAAGATGATGGACAAGGTAGTGATCAGGGAGGAAGTTATGAAGAACAAAGTGATGGAAAAGAAGATGATAAAAGTGATGGCCAGAGTGGAGAGCAAACTGATGGTCTAAGTGGAGAACAAACTGAGGGTCTAAGTGGAGAACAAATTGAAGCAGCTGATGGCCAAAGTGAAGAAAAATCTGATGTAGGTGATGGTCAAAGTGAAGAAGAAAAAACTGAAGCGACTGATGAAACGACAGATGGTCAAAGTGAAGAAAAATCTGATGTAGGTGATGGCCAAAGTGAAGAAGAAAAAGTTGATGGTCAAAGTGATGAAGAAAAAACTGATGGTCAAAGTGAAGAAGAAAAAACTGATGGTAAAAGTGAAGAAGAAGTAACTGATGGTAAAAGTGAAGAAGAAAAAGCTGATGGCCAAAGTGGAGAAACTCAAGAAGTTCAAGATCAAGCTGATGAACCTGTAAGTTATTTTATAAAATTGAAGTGTTATAAATTTATAATAAATAATTTTTAAGGACCACAAAGAAGGAAGTGAAGAAAGTACGACAGAAATACCTGAATCTGGTGAACAAAGTGAAGATAATAAGGAATCAGTAGAACAGAGTACTGAAAAATCTGACGAGCCTGAACAAGAGTCTAAAGAAGCTGATAAAGTAGATGAAAGTCAGGAAAATACTGAAACAGGTAATGTTGTTTGAATAACATTGTTTTTTTTTAAGTGAAATTGAGATGAGAAATAATTTTTGTGTTTGTAGAAACTACCGAAATCGAGAAGGACGAAACCGCAGAAAAATCTGACGAGGTTGTAGAACCAGCTGACGAAATCGATTCAAAAGAAACTGAGCAAGAAAACACTGAGAAAAATAAATCCGAGGAAACTGGTGATGCTGAAAAAAGTGAAGAAACAGGTGAACAAGATAAAACTGAGGAAATCGTTGCCGAGTCTGGAGAAACTGGGGAAACTAAGGAAGAAGTTGACACTACTGAAGAAGCTAAGAGTGAAGAAGCTAAGAGTGGAGAAGCTAGCGCAGAGGATACTAAAGAAAATCAATCTGTAGAGGAGGTTGTCGAGTCTGAAGAAGTTAAAGTTTCTGAAGCTGAGAAAAGCGATGAGAATACAGTTGAGGAGGGAAGTGAAGAAAAGAAAGAAAGTGAGGAAAAAGGTGAAGAAAACGAAGTGTTATCACGTGAGAAAAGGGATGTAGGAGAAGAAAGTGCTGAAGGCGAGCAAGAAAAGTCAGAGGAAGAAGCTGCTCAAGGCTCTACTGAAGATGGTATTGAATATTTACTGTTGTTTAAAAATTTGTTTTAGAAAACTGTTTGTTTTAGGTGAAGAACCATCTCCTGAAGAAGACTTGATCCAAGAAATAGAGATCCCTGAAAATCTGAGGTCTCGTGATCACATTAACCAGATCTTGAGGCTGGACCAAGAAAATGAAGAAAAAGAAGCGGCTATTGCTAAAGCCGCTGATGTTGTTCTTAAAGAATTGAAGCGGTTGTATGACACAGCTATTCAGCCATTGGAAACTCTGTACAAGTACCGAGATCTCAGTAATCGTCACTTTGGAGATCCGGAGATATTCTCAAAGCCACTGATTCTCTTTATGGGCCCTTGGAGTGGTGGAAAATCTTCCATTATTAATTATCTCCTTGATAATGAGTACAAGACCACCGCACTCAGAACTGGTACGTATTTTATCAACCAAAATAATTAAAAAAAATTAAAATCCTCTTAGGGTATATCTTGTATGGTATCAAGAGTGTCATCACTGCTACTAACAGTTTTGAATGTGAAGTAACATGTAGATAGATAGTCTGTAGATAGTCTTTTAGGCGATTCGCAAGAGTGCTCTGAAGAGTCTTGCGAATCGCCAATTCAAACTGATCCAGGAGCGGAGCCATCACCGGCGTACTTTAACATTGTCATGCACGGAGAGGAAGAAGAAGTGTTGGATGGAACTCAGTTGGCTGCCGACTGGACCTTTTCTGGTCTCCAGAAGTTCGGGCAAGGACTCCTGGACCGCTTGAGAGGCTTGAAGCTCAACAATAAATTATTGGAAAAGGTTATAAGCCACTTTACAGCTTAGTTGAGTAATAAGTTTAATTGTAATGCAATTTGTAATTGAATATCAATGATGTGACATTTCAGGTGAACATCGTTGAGATTCCAGGAATTTTGGAGATCAGAAAGCAAGTACAAAGACTCTTTCCGTTTAATGATGCCTGTCAATGGTTCATTGACAGAGCAGATATCATTTTCTTGATCTACGATCCGTCTAAATTGGACGTTGGGCCAGAAACTGAGGCAATTTTGGATCAACTTAAAGGACGAGAGTACCAAGTGAGTATCAATTTTTATACTGAATTTTTTTGAGTACCTGGAAGACCTTTTTTTTGTAAATCCTGTTTTTTGGAAACTGTGTGTATATAATATATAAATTAATTTTGTCCAATAGACAAGAATTGTTCTCAACAAAGCTGACCAAGTGAAGCCAGAAGAATTGATGAGGGTCCAAGGTGCTCTGATCTGGAACATTTCTCCTCTTATGTCAAGCGCAGAGCCGCCTGTTATGTACTCGACGTCTCTTTGGTCCATGCCATACGAAGCTGGCGCTCCAACTCGTCTTCTCTATGCTCAAGAACGCGCATTTTTGAGGGACTTGCGATCGGCTATCGACAAGAGAGTCGAGCACAAAATCGCCAGCGCCAGAAGATTTGCCGTAAGTATAAAGAGTTTTATAGTAAAAAGCTCATCAAGAGCTTTCATTTGAGTACATACTATGCATTTTTAATATATTTATCATATATACATATATATAGTATATATAAATATATGAAAAATTGATGTGGGTACTCGAATGAAAGGTCTTGATGAGTGTAATGTCGGGATGAGCTTATATCTTTAAAAATGTCAATATTTCACAAGATTCTCGTTAAATTGCACTGTACTTATTTACCTATTGACGTTTTTAAAGATATAAGCTCATCCTGATGTTATACTCATCAAGAGTTTTCATTTGAGTACCCACATGCATTATTGATATATTTTTCATATATTCATATATATAAATATATATTCATAAATATAAATATATGAAAAATTGATATGGGTACTCAAATGAAAGGTCTTGATGAGTGTAACATCGGAATGAGCTTATATCTTTAAAAACGTTAATATTTCACAAGATACTTGTTAAATTGCACTCTATTTTCTTACCTATTGACCTTTTTAGAGATATAAGCTAATCCCGATGTTACACTCATCAAGAGCTTTCATTTGAATACCCACATGCGTTTTCATATATTTTTCATATATACATATATATAATATATATAAATATATGAAAAATTGATGTGGGTACTCAAATAAAAGGTCTCGATGAGTGTAACTCCAGAATGAGCTTATATCTTTAAAAATGTCAATAGTTCACAAGATACAAGATCATTTCTTAATTATGTATCTAGAGATATATTTCTTATTCTCTCAATAATATAAATAATTTATAGGTGAGAGTTCGCAACCACGCAAAAATGGTGGACTGCTACTTAACGACCTACTACAACCACAAGACCTTCTTCGGTAGCAAAAAAGACATAAGCGACAGAATAATCGAAAACCCTCAAGAGTACCACATCTACGAAGGACTTAGCACGCTGACAAATATCTCCCGATATGACTTGCCAGATCCTGACGTGTACCGCGACTTCTTCCGACTGAACCAGCTGTACGACTTCCCGTTGCTGAGTTCAACGTGCACGTACTTCCGTGGGTGTCCCATCAACAGGCTCGACGTGGCCATTGCCTACGACCTGCCCGAGCTGGTAGGAAAATACAAGAAGGCTGTTGAAGCAGCGGTACACGAAGACGACAAGCCTCCAGCAAGTTGAAGGAGTTTTTAAGTAAAGTCCGATTATTCGCAAGAAAAATTCGGGCTCGACTTTTGAACTCTTAAATTAACAAAGCCCTAATTAACAAACAAATAAAAAGAGTTTAAGTTAAATAAATCCTTCTCATCAGGATCTGATACTTGCTAACAAACGTCGATAGCCACGTAATGTACTGCTGGCAGTTTAACGTGGAGATTATTAACGCAGAGGGTATTTATTTACCAACGGGTACCTCAGTGTCTCCTTGTTCCGTTTTATTTTATTTTAAATAAAACATTTAAAAATAAACAACGCACTGTCCAATTAATCTAATGTCTTTTTATCGATGGTTATTATTGTTATTGTTATTTAATTTATTTATAAATTATCTCTTACCTTACTATCGATAACAAGCTCATTTGATTTTGTTTAATTATATTTGTTATTATTTAATTTAAATGTTTAATTATTAATACTATGTTAATTATAATTATTATTATTATTATTATTATTTTAGTTAGATAAGAAACACTGTGTTCGTATGATGGAAGATAATTATTGATGAATGACACAATTTATAGTTAAAAATATTGTTTGTAATGATAATTGATCAATAATCAACGTGTTGCGTTTCCTTTTCTCATGTTTTGCTATACTCATGCATTTTTTTCGTAGCACTATTTAATTCTCGACCTAGCTTGTATTTATTGCACTATTTAAGTCTCCATCAATTTTATCTCATATATCTTCGATTATTTGTGGATCCATTTGTCATTTGTCCGATATAACTGTACCATTAAATGTCATTTCTTTTGATCGAAAGAATATAAATAATAATAATACTTAACATTTAGTCTACTTTTTTTGTTAAGTAGAAACTAGCAACCTTGCAGTCACTATGTGATTGTTGAGACTTGTGAAATATAAATAAAGAAATTTTGCTTTATTAAATAATGATTTTTGTTAAATTGTAGTGTACTTTCTTAAATATTGACATTTCTAAAGATATAAGCTCATCGCTATGTTACACTGATCATGGGCTTTTATTTGAGTACCCACATACATTTTTGATATATTTTTCATATATACATATATGTGATATACATAAATATATAAAATATATGAAAAATTGATGTGGGTACTCAAATGAAACGTCTTAACGAGTGTAATGTCGGGATGAGCTTATATCTTGAAAAATATCATTAGATGACAAGATTCAATGTAATTTCTCAACTATTGACATTTTTAAAGATATAAGCTCATCCTGATGTTACACTCATCAAGACCTTTCATTTGAGTACCCACATGCATTTTTGAGATATTTTTCATATATACATATATGTAATATTTATAAATATATAAAATATATGAAAAATTGATGTGGGTACTGAAATGAAAGGTTTTGATGAGTGTAATGTCGGGATGAGCTTATATCTTAAAGAATGTCACTAGTTCACAAGATTCAATGTAATTTGATAATTATAGCGATTTAAACGAACAATAGGGGTCTGTATTTTTAAATACAATTGTGTGCTGTGAGCAAATTCTAAATATTTTTCGCCCTGGAATAAAAAGAACAAACAGGAATATGAAAGAAGAAACAGCAGTACTCACATTTGGAGTCACTTCACGAAGCCACTCGTCAGCTTGTTCGTCAAAATCGAATTTGCAGGCCAATCTCAGGTCAGTAGCAGCCTCCTCGAAGTTTCCAAGAAGCTGGTTCGCCCGACCACGGAATTTGTGAGCTGCTGCGCTGTCGGGGTTCAGTTCCAGGGCACGGTCGCAGTCACGGATGCAAGCGTTCGGTTTCTTCATCTCCAGGAAAACTTGCCCGCGCTTAGCGTAAAGCAGAGCTGCGTGGGGGTTCAGAGTTATCGCTTCTGTGTACAGTTTAATGGCTTTCTCATAATCTTTTTCGGAGAATGCTGAAACTGCTTCGGAGCGCTTAGACTGAGCTTCGGCGATTTCTTCCTCAGTTGGCTCGACGGTTGGATTTCCCATTTTTTGTGGTGGATCATTGTCGGGTTCTGTTTTAAAATTTAGTGATAAATTATTATACTGAAGTCAGCTGATAACTATCAATTTTTTTTATTCTTAGAACAAAATAATTACAATAATAAAAATTATTAATTCTAATTTAATAATTAAAAAAAATCACAAAATTAAAAACGTCGGCTAATTTTAGTATAATTTTTTATGACACTAAAATTAGCTGACATTCTTTTCTTTTTATTATTTTTAATTTAACTAGGTCTAAAAAATTCCATTTATAATTTATGAAAGCTTCTAAAAATTGAATTATTCAATTTAAATTTTTATTCCTATAATTTATTTATTAAAAAAAATTCTAAAAATTATCAAATGTTTCAATTTTAGTAACATAAATATTTCTAATAATAATTTAATTATTATACTTAAAATTCTCAAAAAATTTCTAACTTCAGTGTAATTTATTAATTAAAAATTGAATAAAATTTTAATTACCAACAACATTGGTCATATCAAGTTCCAGTTCACTCTCCGCATCAGACTCTGATTCCATTTGTTCAGGTTCGTCATTTGACGGCTGCATTGGTACTTCCATGCTTGGTGGATCACCAGCAGCTTGCATCGGGACTTTTCCGCCGAAATGTTCAATGAATTTTTTGACAAATGCTAAATCGGGTAAATGAAGCATCTGAGGGTTCGCTGTGCACAACTCTACAAAACGTTGTAGTGGAGCCAGATGCTCCTTGTTAAATGGCAGAGACATGCTAAAATTATTAAAAAAAAAAAAAAAATTAACAATTAATTATAGAAAAATAAATTAATAATAAATTATTACAAATAAAAGTTTGCTTGGTAATAACCTTGAGTACAAAAAAAGTTTTATTTGAATTAATGATCAGCCGCTTAAAAATTTATGGTTATGACGAAGCCGAATTTAGTAAGAATTTATTTTATTTATTTAAGATAAAAAAAATAATTTAAAATACTTACGTAGATTAAATAATTCACTTAGTTACTTATCAAACACTTAATTAAAATTAAGCTGAGTAATTATATTGATAGTCTGAGAACAATACACTTGTTTTCAATTTGTAAGACAGAGGAAAACAAATGGCAAATGACCAGCAAAATACATATCAGTGAATAATAATAAGAGCTCTAGAGAATTCGATGAATTTTAGTTGAATTTAGTGACACCACGTGGCGCTGAAATACTCCCGCCATTTATTTAAAAAATGAATTATCGCTGAAGAGGAAAGAATAGAGTTTTAGTTGTTAATTGTTAGTAATAAATAAAATGTAGACAATCATATCGTATCTTAATTATTATTTAATTATATTAATATAATTTATTTACAAAACCCAATCAATATACATTGGTAAATATGTCGTATTGTAACAATCTTATCTAAATAATTATTTTATTACCACGTAGTTGATCCAGGACACGTTAGAATATTGCCTCAAATTATATTAATTACCGCGTACTTGTCGACGATATTCGATTCAACTAAAAGAAATGTTATATGTTTTTAAGTCTTGGCGAATACGACTGGTTTATACAAATACAGCGACGATAAATTTAGTATATTCGGAAGATTTTTTAAATGTCCTGATTTTATTCAATTTATCCGGCTAATCGAAAGCTTTTAAATAAATTAGATGGCAGTCTGTTTATTTATTTGTTGGAATGTTAGCTCAAGGTCTACCTCCTAGTCCGCCCATCAAATTTCCCAGACCACCAGCTGCACCTTGTTGAATTTGTTTCATCATATTTTGAAGACCGTTCAGTCCACCTGATAAATGAATAAATAAAAAATTAATTTTAATTAAATTAGACAAATAATAATAATAATAATAATAATAATTATTATTATTATTATTATATAAACTTTGAAGTAAATTTCTGCAAGCGAAAATAAAAAGCGCCACTGCGTCACCTAGTGGTGACTTTATAAAGTAAAATTTTCATAGTTTTTTAATTAAATTAAGTATTGAGTAAATTGTAAGCAATATTAATGAATTTGTGTAAAATATTGTTAAAAGTAATAATAATAATAATAATAATAATAATAATAATTATATAAACTTCGAAGTAAGTTTCTGCAAGCGAAAATAAAAAGCGCCACTGCGTCACCTGGCGGTGACTTTAGAAATTAATTAAAAAATTTCCATATTTTTTTAATTAAATTAAGTATTTAGTGAATTGTAAGCATTATTAATGAATTTGTGTAAAATATTGGTAAAAATAATAACAATTATTATTATTAAATACGAAATAACTGACCCATTTGATGAAGAACACGTGGATCCATCATTTTAGCCATTTGTTGATTTAATTTAGCCATTTGAGTTTGATTGACATTCTTGGACATATCTCCACCCTTGAACAATCCTTTGATACCTCCCATCCTCTTAACAACCGCTGCGAACTTGGTGTACTGAGTAATCAAATCTTTAACTTCTTTCTCAGTGACACCAGATCCATGAGCTAGCCTCGTTATTCTACCGGGTTGTTTGCTGAATAATTTAGCTCCATCTCTGTTGTCCAACTCGGCATCATTCATACTGTCCATTATTGTCATAAGTCGCTTTAATCTTGCCATCGAGTCTTGTTCCGTTCCTTTGGACATAAAATCTTGGCTGAAACCCGGAATCATACCCTGAAATTTTACGACATGTTATTAATATCAACAATCGCTTTAAACTACAATTATTCTGTCAGCTTCAACATAAAAAAAATCTTATTGCTAACAGACATGTAATGAGTTTTTGAATAAATTACCAAAATCTGTGAAAAAGGTCCCATCTTCATAATATTTTGAAACTGTTCATACATATCCCGTAAAGTGAACTGCCCATGTTTGATTTTTTCTAAAAGCTCTTCATTATCATCAAGATTCAACTCATTAACTTTATCAATCAATCCTTCAATGTCACCCATTCCCAACAATTTACTGATAAAAGGTTTTGTTTTAAACGGCTCCAAGTCATCTATGTGCTCTCCAGTACCAATAAATATTACAGGACTCTGCGTAGCTGCAACACTAATTAAATTTTCAATTAATATAATTATATTTTAAAAATTAATATCAGATAAAAATTAATAAAATAAACTTACGCTGATAAAGCTCCACCACCCTTAGCATGTCCGTCCAACTTGGTGATAATAATCGAACCTACATTAACGCGATCTTTAAAAGCCTTAGCTTGCGACTCACAAGCCTGACCTATCGTTGCGTCCATCACGAATATAATATTATCTGGTTGCTGTAAATTAAAGTCAGACATTAATTAAAACTAAATTAATTGTTAAATATAATTATAATTTTGATTTTTTGATTTTTACTTACAACTGCATTTGACACTTGCAACATTTCCTCAAATAGAGACTCTTCTTGTTTATGCCTACCACTGGTATCCACGATTATTATTTCATAGCCTTCTTTTTTAAACATTTCAACACCATCTTGTGCTATTACTACTGGATCTGATTCTGTGTAGCTGGAAAGTTAATTTTTATTTTATTAATAAATGAAGAGCAACTCTGCAGTCACTATGTGACTGCCGTGACTTGTAAACTATAAATAAAAAGAATTTTGCTTTATTCAATAATAAATTTTGTTATATCGCACTGTACTTTCTTAAATATTGAAGTTTTTAAAGATATAAGCTCATCCTGATGTTACACTCATTGAGAGCTTTCATTAGAGTACCCACTTGCATTTTTGATATATTTTTCATATCTACATATATGTAATATACATAAATATATCAAATATATGAAAAATTGATGTGGGTACTCAAATGAAAGGTCTCGATGAGTGTAACATCGAGATGAGCTTATATCTTTAAAAATGTCAATTATTTACAAGATACAAGGTCATTTCTTAACAATTGACATTTTTAAAGATATAAGCTCACCCTACCATTACATTCATCGAGACCTTTCATTTGAGTATCAACATTCATTTTTCATATATTTTATATATTTATATATATTACATATATGTATATATGAAAAATATATCAAAAATGCATGTGGGTATTCAAATGAAAGGTCTCGATGAGTGTAACATCAGGATGAGCTTATATCTTTAAAAATGTCAATGGTTCACAAGATACAAGGTCATTTCTTAACTATTGACATTTTTAAAGATATAAGCTCATCTCGATCTTACATTCATCAAGAGCTTTCATTTGAGTACTCACATACATTTTTTATATATTTTTCATATATACATATATGTAATATATATAAATATATAAAATATATGAAAAATTGATGTGGGTACTCAAATGAAAGGTATCGATGAATGTAACATCGGTATGAGCTTATATCTTTAAAAATGTCAATTATTCACAAGATACAAGGTCATTTCTTAATTATGTATCTAGAGATAGAGCTCGAATATCCAGGTTACAAAATTTTTCTTATTCTCTTAATAATATAGATTACCAACTCAATAATTATTTAAAGCTAATTCTAGAAAACTTTTTTAACAAAATTGACATTTTAAAAATTGTCAAAAGTCTGCTAATTTAAGTATAATAATTAATTCAAATTTTTTACCTTCCATAAAATGGTATTCTAGCTTTAGTAGCATTCTGTTTAATTTGATCATAAGCACCAGCACGAAACGTGTCAGCGCAAACCAAGCAAGCCTTCCAATTTTTCTTCAAATAATGATAAGCTAATTTAGTACACGTCGTTGTTTTACCAGCACCTTGTAATCCAACGAACATAATAATATTTGGACGACCTTTCACTGGCTGGTAAGCCTTCACGCCTGGATCGATCAACTAAAAGCAAGAAAAATTATGATATCCTAACAAATAAAAAATAAAAAAAAAACAATAATTAAAAAAAAATAAATAAAGTACTTTGACAAGTTCTTTGAACACTGCGCTCTGGATCATCCGGCGTTTATTAAGCCCACCCGCCATATCATCAAAGTCAATGACGGATCGCACATTTTCACGGAGTTTTTTCACCAGGCGAATGTTTACATCAGCTTCTAATAGTGCTGCGCATATCTCCTTCAGCATAGAATTTAATACCTGTCAAAAAAATTATTATTAGTACCTAACATAATTTTTTTTCTGATTCAGATTATCATGCGTGTCATTTATTTTAGCTTGGAGAAATATTTAAGGTTAAGTAAAATATTTTAAAAATTAACAGATTAATTAGTCAGGAGTTAAATTAAAAATAAGTAAATATAATTGAAGGTGCTAATTTTTAGGTTTTAGCAAATTGAAGATCATGATGAAAGAAAAAAAAATAAAAATAAATTAAGCAGGTTCCATCTGTTTACAACAATGTCATATGTATTACCTCTTCATTGATGACAGTTGCATTGCTGAGCGACCGTAATGCGGACGTAATTTTACGTCCTAGGTCGGCTAATACCATTTTTCACTTATTTATTGCTTATTGTTAATCCGTAAATATGTTTATTGTATAAACAGCCTCTTGGGCATATAACCAATAATTCGATGACTTTGAGCGACGTTATAATGAAAGTGTATACTCAAAAAAGTTATCATTGTCTCTCAACAGCCAACTCGACATGACGACACTTCCGGTGTTGGTAAAGAAGGATTTTAATTTGACAGCAAGTTAAGTTTGTTTTTTTCAATTTTTAATTAACAAATTTAATAACAAAAGATGAAAATTAAATTAATAAAAATAAAGTTATTATTGCAAAAAAATTTTTCAATTGTAAAAAAGTTAAAAAACTATAAGTGCAATTTTTTAAAATATTTTTTTAGTTATAATTTAATAAATTATGCAAAATAAAAAAAATCAAAAATTTCGGCTAACTTTATTATTAAGTCTATTAAATTAGCCGACGTTTAAAAATTTTTGTAATATATTTTATTGAAAAATAATTTCAAAAAATTAAATCGAAAATTATCACTTGAAGAAAATTTTTAAAATTATGCGTGGAATTTTTTAAAAATAGTTTTTTTTAGTATTCTAATTTTTGATTTATATAAAAAATCAAAAATTTTTAAATGTCAGCTAATTTAATTATAATTAATGATAATTATCATTGAAAATTAATTTAGCTGACATTTAAAAATTTTTAGTATTTTTTTTTATTAAAAAAATTGTTACAAAAATAAAGAAAATAAAAAATTTCATTCGTAGAAAACTTTAGAAACTATGAGTGCAATTTTTTAAGAATATTTTTTATTTCTAATTAGTATCGAAAATCTCGAAAAAATGGCTACTGATTCCTTATTGATCAGGATTAAAGCGCGCGCATACACGAAAAAAACAAGATGACACTGGATATCATCCCAGATTATACCGAACGAAAAAAAAAAATTCAGATAGTAGCTAGTATAATCCAGATTACAATGAGTATAATCCAGATTATAATGAGTATAATCCAGATATCACGCAGTATAATCTGGATTTTTCTGTCTACTATCTGAAATTTTTTTCACCGCGGATATCACTGAGTATAATCTGGGATGATATCCAGTGTCATCTTGTTTTTTTCGTGTATGCGCGCGCTTTAATCCTGATCAATAAGGAATCAGTAGCCATTTTTTCGAGATTTTCGATACTAATTAGAAATAAAAAATATTCTTAAAAAATTGCACTCATAGTTTCTAAAGTTTTCTACGAATGAAATTTTTTATTTTCTTTATTTTTGTAACAATTTTTTTAATAAAAAAAAATACTAAAAATTTTTAAATGTCAGCTAAATTAATTTTCAATGATAATTATCATTAATTATAATTAAATTAGCTGACATTTAAAAATTTTTGATTTTTTATATAAATCAAAAATTAGAATACTAAAAAAAACTATTTTTAAAAAATTCCACGCATAATTTTAAAAATTTTCTTCAAGTGATAATTTTCGATTTAATTTTTTGAAATTATTTTTCAATAAAATATATTACAAAAATTTTTAAACGTCGGCTAATTTAATAGACTTAATAATAAAGTTAGCCGAAATTTTTGATTTTTTTTATTTTGCATAATTTATTAAATTATAACTAAAAAAATATTTTAAAAAATTGCACTTATAGTTTTTTAACTTTTTTACAATTGAAAAATTTTTTTGCAATAATAACTTTATTTTTATTAATTTAATTTTCATCTTTTGTTATTAAATTTGTTAATTAAAAATTGAAAAAAACAAACTTAACTTGCTGTCAAATTAAAATCCTTCTTTACCAACACCGGAAGTGTCGTCATGTCGAGTTGGCTGTTGAGAGACAATGATAACTTTTTTGAGTATACACTTTCATTATAACGTCGCTCAAAGTCATCGAATTATTGGTTATATGCCCAAGAGGCTGTTTATACAATAAACATATTTACGGATTAACAATAAGCAATAAATAAGTGAAAAATGGTATTAGCCGACCTAGGACGTAAAATTACGTCCGCATTACGGTCGCTCAGCAATGCAACTGTCATCAATGAAGAGGTAATACATATGACATTGTTGTAAACAGATGGAACCTGCTTAATTTATTTTTATTTTTTTTTCTTTCATCATGATCTTCAATTTGCTAAAACCTAAAAATTAGCACCTTCAATTATATTTACTTATTTTTAATTTAACTCCTGACTAATTAATCTGTTAATTTTTAAAATATTTTACTTAACCTTAAATATTTCTCCAAGCTAAAATAAATGACACGCATGATAATCTGAATCAGAAAAAAAATTATGTTAGGTACTAATAATAATTTTTTTGACAGGTATTAAATTCTATGCTGAAGGAGATATGCGCAGCACTATTAGAAGCTGATGTAAACATTCGCCTGGTGAAAAAACTCCGTGAAAATGTGCGATCCGTCATTGACTTTGATGATATGGCGGGTGGGCTTAATAAACGCCGGATGATCCAGAGCGCAGTGTTCAAAGAACTTGTCAAAGTACTTTATTTATTTTTTTTTAATTATTGTTTTTTTTTTATTTTTTATTTGTTAGGATATCATAATTTTTCTTGCTTTTAGTTGATCGATCCAGGCGTGAAGGCTTACCAGCCAGTGAAAGGTCGTCCAAATATTATTATGTTCGTTGGATTACAAGGTGCTGGTAAAACAACGACGTGTACTAAATTAGCTTATCATTATTTGAAGAAAAATTGGAAGGCTTGCTTGGTTTGCGCTGACACGTTTCGTGCTGGTGCTTATGATCAAATTAAACAGAATGCTACTAAAGCTAGAATACCATTTTATGGAAGGTAAAAAATTTGAATTAATTATTATACTTAAATTAGCAGACTTTTGACAATTTTTAAAATGTCAATTTTGTTAAAAAAGTTTTCTAGAATTAGCTTTAAATAATTATTGAGTTGGTAATCTATATTATTAAGAGAATAAGAAAAATTTTGTAACCTGGATATTCGAGCTCTATCTCTAGATACATAATTAAGAAATGACCTTGTATCTTGTGAATAATTGACATTTTTAAAGATATAAGCTCATAAAAAAATCAATTCTTAATAACAAAAAATCAATTTTTAATTATTAAAAAAAATCAATTTTTAATTATTTAAAAAAATCAATTCTTAATAACAAAAAATCAATTTTTAATTATTAAAAAAAATCAATTTTTAATTATTTAAAAAAATCAATTCTTAATAACAAAAAATCAATTTTTAATTATTAAAAAAAATCAATTTTTAATTATTTAAAAAAATCAATTCTTAATAACAAAAAATCAATTTTTAATTATTAAAAAAAATCAATTTTTAATTATTTAAAAAAATCAATTCTTAATAACAAAAAATCAATTTTTAATTATTAAAAAAAATCAATTTTTAATTATTTAAAAAAATCAATTCTTAATAACAAAAAATCAATTTTTAATTATTAAAAAAAATCAATTTTTAATTATTTAAAAAAATCAATTCTTAATAACAAAAAATCAATTTTTAATTATTAAAAAAAATCAATTTTTAATTATTTAAAAAAATCAATTCTTAATAACAAAAAATCAATTTTTAATTATTAAAAAAAATCAATTTTTAATTATTTAAAAAAATCAATTCTTAATAACAAAAAATCAATTTTTAATTATTAAAAAAAATCAATTTTTAATTATTTAAAAAAATCAATTCTTAATAACAAAAAATCAATTTTTAATTATTAAAAAAAATCAATTTTTAATTATTTAAAAAAATCAATTCTTAATAACAAAAAATCAATTTTTAATTATTAAAAAAAATCAATTTTTAATTATTTAAAAAAATCAATTCTTAATAACAAAAAATCAATTTTTAATTATTAAAAAAAATCAATTTTTAATTATTTAAAAAAATCAATTCTTAATAACAAAAAATCAATTTTTAATTATTAAAAAAAATCAATTTTTAATTATTTAAAAAAATCAATTCTTAATAACAAAAAATCAATTTTTAATTATTAAAAAAAATCAATTTTTAATTATTTAAAAAAATCAATTCTTAATAACAAAAAATCAATTTTTAATTATTAAAAAAAATCAATTTTTAATTATTTAAAAAAATCAATTCTTAATAACAAAAAATCAATTTTTAATTATTAAAAAAAATCAATTTTTAATTATTTAAAAAAATCAATTCTTAATAACAAAAAATCAATTTTTAATTATTAAAAAAAATCAATTTTTAATTATTTAAAAAAATCAATTCTTAATAACAAAAAATCAATTTTTAATTATTAAAAAAAATCAATTTTTAATTATTTAAAAAAATCAATTCTTAATAACAAAAAATCAATTTTTAATTATTAAAAAAAATCAATTTTTAATTATTTAAAAAAATCAATTCTTAATAACAAAAAATCAATTTTTAATTATTAAAAAAAATCAATTTTTAATTATTTAAAAAAATCAATTCTTAATAACAAAAAATCAATTTTTAATTATTAAAAAAAATCAATTTTTAATTATTTAAAAAAATCAATTCTTAATAACAAAAAATCAATTTTTAATTATTAAAAAAAATCAATTTTTAATTATTTAAAAAAATCAATTCTTAATAACAAAAAATCAATTTTTAATTATTAAAAAAAATCAATTTTTAATTATTTAAAAAAATCAATTCTTAATAACAAAAAATCAATTTTTAATTATTAAAAAAAATCAATTTTTAATTATTTAAAAAAATCAATTCTTAATAACAAAAAATCAATTTTTAATTATTAAAAAAAATCAATTTTTAATTATTTAAAAAAATCAATTCTTAATAACAAAAAATCAATTTTTAATTATTAAAAAAAATCAATTTTTAATTATTTAAAAAAATCAATTCTTAATAACAAAAAATCAATTTTTAATTATTAAAAAAAATCAATTTTTAATTATTTAAAAAAATCAATTCTTAATAACAAAAAATCAATTTTTAATTATTAAAAAAAATCAATTTTTAATTATTTAAAAAATTTCTTCAACAAAAATCAATTTAAATGTGCGCTAAAATAAATTGTTTAAAATTTTAATTTTTAATAATTATAAATTATTTAAACTAATTATAAATTTTAAATTTTAAAAATATTAAATGACCTCATTTAATTCGAATTATCTACTTGGGTAGCTTCGATTCAGATAATAATCGACACGAAACAATGAAATTAAAATATAAATAGACATAGACAATAACAATTGATCATTTTATATAATTATGCGGTCTATTAACCAAAAAAAAAAAAAAAAAAAAAAACCTATTGATATTTATGGAATGTATTAAAATCGGAAGTAATATTTAAATAATTAAAGAGATATTAAACTTCTCAATAGATTAAAGCTGAATAAATAAACAATATAAAATAACCCATATTTAATTGTAACTATTTTGATAAAAATATAAATAATTTGAATTATCCAACGTACCATGGAGAATTATTATTTATGATAATTGTAAATTGTCAGTTAAATTAATTTAATAAAGACCTGTGTGTCTATTTGAAGGCAACTTATTTACTTAACAAAGACTACGTATCGTACACTATTAATTAATTATTATTAATGTATTTATTTATTTATTTATTTATTTATTTATTTATAATTTAAATATTTTTGAGTTAACCTTTTTCGAAGCTGCATAAAGGAAGAATACAGTTTAGTTGGTTATGCCGAGAACGGAAGCTGCCCGTACGTCAATATAGTTATTATGCGTTTTGTATTTAGTTATACAACGCGATATCGCAATGAGAGCATCAATAAATATCCCTGGAATTGCTAAATGGGCTTTATCACCGTGACATATACATATATTTATATATCTATATTTATAATCAACTCTTTGCAAACCTTTCACATAGACTATGTATAAATGTACATAGAGGAGAGTAACGAAAAATAGGCTTTCTAAAAAGTATACTATTGATATTTTTTAATAATAAATATTACCCGATTTTTTATATTATGTCATCTCTTTTTTTTTTAATTTTTAAAATACAAAATACTCAATACTAAAATAATAATATAATACTTGTTCCTAAACTCGTGATAAAAAATTTGAATATACTGTTAAATTATCAAAAAAAATTTTGTTGATTTAATTTAGACATTTTTTTTATACGAGTTTTATTTATGAATTAAAGGTAATTATTTACAAGTGGGGTCTACTATTTTAATTTTCATTTTTTTAAACAAAATTTTTTTTTGAAAATTTTGATATATTTTTTTTTTAAATACATAAAAAAATGAACACTTAAATTTCTATTTTTTTTTTTTTAACTTTTAAAGGCAAAAAAACTAAATAATTGAAATAATTTTTTGATATTTTTGATATCACAGAATAAAAAAAAAATTTTTAATTGTTAATTTTTTATTTAGATATGGACAAAAATAATTTTGAACTTGTAAATAATTACTGAATTAAAATAAACTATTTAAATTATAAAATTTATAAATATAAATACATTTTTAGAAAGCCCGTTTTACATCACCGTCTGCTAAATACACTAACATCTTTAAAACATAGTACTATTTACAATTATAACTTTAATTAAACGGTACACCGAACCGTCACATGATTATTACATGTAAATCTGCATAATAAAAAGCTCGGCTATCTGAAATATATATATATAAATATAAATATAATAATAATTAATAATAATATCTATTTAAATGTCAAAGAAGGATATTGATTTGTCTATTGATTTTTTATTAACTATTTGGAATTAACGGATAGATCCTTCAATTATTGACAGTAATTAATATTAAAAATCATTTTTTTTTTAATTTAAATTTTTCTATTGGTTAATTGACAATTTAAATTAAAAATTTATTCATAGTCAGGTTATTTTTAGACTTGCCACTTTTTTAATATTACCCCATCATAATTAATTTATAATCTATATTATTAAGAGAGTAAGAAAAGTTTTGTTTCATTCGAAAATTCTTTATCTCTAGATACATAATTAAGAAATGACCTTGTATCTTGTAAAATATTGACATTTTTAAAGATATAAGCTCATCCCAATGTCACACTCATCTAGACCTTTCATTTGAGTACCCACATCAATTTTTCATATATTTTATATATTTATACATATATTACATATATGTATATATGATAAATATATCAAAAATGTATGTGGGTATTCAAATGAAAGCTCTTGATCAGCGTAACATCATGATGAGCTTATGTTCTAAAAAAATGTCTTTAGTTCTCAAGATACCAGGTCATTTCTTAATTATTGATATTTTTAAAAATATAAGCTCATCCTGATGTTACACTCATCGAGACCTTTCATTTGAGTACCCACATCAATTTTTCATATATTTTATATATTTATATATATATATTACATATATGTATATATGATAAATATAACAAAAATGCATGTGGGTACTCAAATAAAAGCTCTCGATGAGTGTAACAACAGGATGAGCTTATATCTTTAAAAATGTCAATATTCAAGAAAGTACAGTGCAATTTAACAAAAGTCATTATTCAATAAAGCAAAATTTTAATTTTTTTTTAATTTACAAGTCATAGCAGTCACGTAGTGACTGCAAGGTTGCTAAGTTCAAGTAAAATTTATTTTATTTTTTAAATTAATTAAATTTTTATGACAGTGAAATATTAAAAAAGTGGGTACTGTCCAAGAATGCCCCTAATGTAATCATCACCAGTATTTTAATTAATATTGAACTTTTAAATAGATTAATAATATTAATAATAAAAATAATAATCCAATTTAACTTGATAATATTAATTCAACCTTGTCATACATATATAATATGTTTGTAA